CGGAGGGGCGGGGGGGGCTGCTGCTGCTGCGGGGGCTGCTGCTGCTGCGGGAGCTGCTGCTGCTGCGGGAGCTGCTGCTGCTGCTGCAGGGTCTGCTGCTGCTGCTGCTGGGGCTGCTGCTGAGGGTGCAGCAGCGCCTGCGCTCCCCTCCGGAGGCCCCCCCCCGCCTGGGGTCTTCATTTTGCTTCTGCTTCTCGCGCTCCTGCTGCTCTATGCGCTGCTGCTGCTGCTGCTGTACTTGCTGCTGCTGCTGCTGCTGCTGCTGTGCACTTGCTCCTGTATATGCTGCTGCTGCTGCGGTGTCTGCTGCCGTATATGCTTCTCCAGCCGCTACTGTATATGCTGCTGTTCCTGCTATATATGCTGTTGCTGCTGCAGCTACTGTATATGCCGGCGCTGCTGCTGCTGCTACAGTATATGCTGCTGCTGCTGCTGCTGCTGCTGCATGTGCTGCGCGTGCCGCATATGCTGCCGCTGTATATGGTGCTGCTGTATATGTTGCTGCTGCATGTGCACCTGCTAGGTACGCCGCTGCTGTATATGCTACTGCTGCTGCTGTGTATGCTGCTGCTGCTGCTGTGTATGCTGCTGCTGCTGCTGCTGCATATGCTGCTGCTGCTGCAGCATGTGCTGCTGCTGCCGCTGTGGGGCCGCGAGCTAGCACAGGCAGACGCAGCAAGAGTTGTGGAAAGCGCAGCAGCAGGTCAGGCAGTAGCGCATGCAGCAACGCGGATTCTCCCTGGAACTTGCAGCAAACCCTAAATTCGAAACCCTAAACCCTAAACCCTAAACCCTCGACTTGAGGCGGCTGCGGCGGCAGTTCCTGCAGCAGGGAACGAAATAGAAACCGCAAACCCCCGCAGACAAATAAAGAAGAGACTTTTGAAGGGTTTAGGGTTTAAAAGGAAGGCAGAAATAGAGGTAGAGAGGCACTAACTCACCCTGGCGCGCTGCCAGTGCTGCCGCTAGGGCATTCGTTTCCTTCGCTCCCTCAGGTTAAAAGAGATAATTTCAGTTGTAAATGCAACAGAAATATCCCTTTCATTCATTCGGCGCCGGCAAAACCCGAAAACGACGTTCTTGCTGCTGCTGCTGCTGCTGCTGCTGCTGCGTGAGCGGATGCTCTCCTGCTGCTGCACCTTGTCTGCGTCCGCAGGGGGCCCTTATTCCCGCTTTCTCCTCGCCTCAGAGCCTCTTAAATTCTTCAAATTTAATTCATTTGCATTTTTCTCTCTTTTTTTCCGCGAAAAATAAACAAATCCACACTTGTATATCCTGGGTTTCCGTGGGCACAGCGCAGCAGTCGTCAGCGCCGCCCGGGCCCCACCTCAAGCTGAAACGACCCGTTTTTCCTGCCTTTTAAAGCCAAATTAAAGTTCAATTCGCCATTAATTTGAATTTTGCGTCTTTTCGAGCCTAAGAACACGTTTTTAAGAGCTCGTTTTGCCGGAAAACGCTGCGAAACGCGCTGTGGCGCCAGCCTGTGCAGCCTGCAGGTCCCACCGCAGCAGCACAGCAGCAACAAAAAACTCCCTTACTTTTCATATTTCTCTTTATATTCCCTCAGGCCTTTTGCGAAGCTTCGGAGGCCCCGAATTCCTCTGCGCTGAAGAGTCTGCATGCAGCAGCAGCAGGTTCGCGGCGCTGCAGCGCTCCCGAGTTTTCGGGATTTGTTTGCTGCTGAAGACACCACGGCCAAACTTTTAGTCCTTTAGAGGCCCCTAAAGCTCCATTTGCAAAGACAGTTTCATTGAAAGACACAAAAGGCCCTTTGCTGCAGCTCGAAACGCAGCTAGAGTGAAAACTAAATGCAAAACGAACTCCCAGCCCCCAAGGGGCCCCCCGGGGGGCCCCCGGGGGGCCCCCCGGGGGGCCCCTGCAACAACAGTGGGGGGCCCCCTAGAGCCATCGGGCTGCTGCTAGGGACCTTGGGGGCCCCTAAGTAACTACAGTCTTCAGACAGGGGGCCCCTCAGCCCTCTTGGGGGCCCCCACGGTGCCGCTGGGGGCCCCCTTGGGGGCCCCCAAATGGCTTTAAAGGCTCCTCTGGGGCCCCGCAGGAGTTCCAGGGGCCCCCATGGGGCCCCTCTTGTAGCTCTTGAAGGCTTCTCAAAAGCCCCACAACGGCTTTATAGGAAAGTAGAGCAGTACTTAGCCTTTTTAGAAAAACCTGAGGCGATGAAAGGGTTTATTTCAGCTTTTAAATTATTTAAAACCCTAAACCCTAAACCCTAATTGCATGCAGCAAAGAGGTACTGCAAAGCAGTACCTCACTGATGCTTCCCGAAAACTAAAACATTTTTTTTATTGTGAAAGGGGAAGAAGGCAAAGCTGCTGCTGCGCTGCTGCAGCTAGGGTTTAGGGTTTAGGGTTTAGGGTTTTTATAGCAAGGCGCCGCAGCAAGGAAGTAAGCAATATAGCCTAAGAAAGTCTGGGGGGCCCCCACAAGAGGAATGAAACCCCAGGAGCTTCTCTGGGGGCCCCTCTGGGGGCCCCCAGGGACGGGAAAGCTGCGTCTTTTAGACTTTAATAAATATTTGTATTTCCCCAAGTTGTCTGACAATTAATTAATTATGTTTTTAAATTTTTGGAAAAGAAAAGACAAAGACAAAAGCCTCACCTGCAGGGCTTGGGCTGCGTTTTGAATGCGGCGGCGCTGCGCTGCAGCTTCCTGAGGAAGTAAAAAGTGGAAAAAAGCTCAAAATGGTTTTTAAAATTCAAAAAAAGTGAAATATTTGAATAAATATGGACAAAAACTCGAATTTATGTTTCTAATTTGCAAAATTAGAAGCATAATTTCGAGTTTTTGTCCATTTTTCGAGTGCAACTCGCCCTCCGCGTTCAAGTTTTTGAAGTTTCCTGCGAAACTGCTTACCTGGCTCTGAGCCCTAAGGGCGGCGGTCTCAGCCGCCAAACGCGAATTGTTTTTGATTTTAAATTCAACTTTTTGGCGAAGTTGTTCTTCTTGGGAGGCGAGATCAGCGGCTTGGCTCCGTTGCTGTTTGGGAGAATCGGAGTTGCAGTTGGAGTCCATTTCGCGGGGAAAGCAGGGGAATACTAATTCGAATTGAAAATAAAAAACAAATCTTACTTTTTCTTTGAAGTCGGATTTTAAATGCAGCATCAGCTGCTCGCATTCCGCCATGAGCTCCGCCCTGAGATCGACGCGCGGGGCTGCGGCTGCTGCTCGTTCAGGTTTTGCAAAAAAGCCTACTTGCGCTTTTTCCACAAAGTTTCCAGGCCCTCCAGCTCTTTCTTTTGCAAAGAAAGCTCAGCTTTCAAAGCCGATACTTCCATTTCAAGAACTCTGCGCTCTGTTTCCCTGGTGGCGTTGGCGTGGACAAGCCGAATGGCTGCTGCCGCTGCTGCTCGGCGATCTGCCTGAATAGCCGCAGTTTCGCGAAGAATTGACCGGAGTTTTTGTTCAAGAACATCCGTTTCTTTTCTTAAGACGCTCAGCTCTTCCAATTGGGAGCTGGCTGTGTTTCGCAGAGCCCGCAGCTGCAGCAGCGACTGCCGAGGCTGCGGAACTTGTGGGTCACTGATTTCTCCCATTATAAAGAACAAAGTGCACAAAAACGAAAAACAATTGCCAAAATGCTTTGTTTCAACTTTTCAGAAACATACGAGCGTTAATTCGCGACATTCAGTGGGAGTTCCCAGCAAAGTCGAGTTCACAAGCAAGCATGCTTCTGTGTAGCTCACTATACACCCCAGTAGAAACTGTCAGCAGACAATAAAAACAACCACTTTTATTCCAATTTTTTTGTCCTAAGTTCAATTTGTTTAATTGAACATACTGGATTTGTTCAAAGTGGAATTTATGGCGAAAGCCGCAGTGCCTTCTCCGCTCTCGACCCTGCCTGACTTCCCCGCGAAAGAGACTGTCCTCTGCAGGCTTTTCACGAAAAATAAATTTCAAAATAATTCAAAAGTCTCGATAAGATGATATTGGAGATATAAAGCGCAGCTACCGTAGAGCCCATTGGTCATTCAGATAAGTCCGCCGCTGTCTTGCAGGAACCGCTGCACAAGTCGTGCACGAATGCGCACTAAGGCATCTTCTTAAGCAAGCATATGAAAGGATATTTTTTATTATTTGTTTTTATTTTTCTTGAAGACAAACAAATATAAGAGATCGGGCGTGTGCAGCAGCCCATGAAGGTCTTGTTCAAGACTGCTCCGCTGGTCTTCTGTCGGCCGCTGTCGGCGTTTCGCAGCATCTCGCCCCCGAACACGTCATTTTCCCCCTAATTTTGTTAAAAATACTTTTTTTAATTAATTAATTATTGAAAATTAATCCATTTACCCTCGAAACTCCGCCGAAACCAGCCCCCAGCCCCGGCTCGGGCCCACGCTGCGATCGCCCGCTCCTGGGCGGCCCCGCCCGAAGGCTCCCCAGGGCCTCACACTGCGATCCTCTCGCAATTGTTTAGGGATTTTAAAAGAGAAATATTTAAAAATTAATGCATTTTAAAGCACATCTTGGCCCTGTGTGCAGCCCCAGGAAGGCCTTCGGGGGCGGATCTGAACGCGCGGTAATCTGCTGCTGTCGGCGCCGGTCTTAGTTTCTTTTTGTCTTCTGCTTCCCCCCAAGCTGCTGCACTTCGGGTCTGTGCTGCTTCTTCTGCTGCCTGGGGCTGTGGGGTGCCACCAGGGGCCCCGGGGGCCCCCCTCCCTTTGCTGCAGTACGGGCTTAGGGGGAGCCATGGGGGCCCCCCACCTGCGCCGGCTGGCCGCCACTCTGGCCTTCTGCACTATTCTGCACGGCTGGGTCGTGCAGGGGCCAGTACCCTCTTTGGGGGACTCTCTGGGGCTCCAGCTCGCCGCGGATCGCTCTACGGGGGCCCCCCAGGGGGCTCCCCTAGGGGCCCCGCCGGGGGATCCCCAGGACATGCCCCAGGGGGCCCCTCAGGGGGCCCCCAAGGAGGCCCCCCAGGGGCCTCCTCAAGAGGATCCTCACGGGGGCCCCCAGAGGGCCCCCAAGGAGGCCCCCCAAGAGGCTCCCCAGGGGGCCCCCCAGGGGGCCCCGCAGGAGGCCTCCGAGGGGGCCCCCCAGGAGGGGCCCCAGGGGGGCCCCCAGGGGGGCCCCCAGGGGGCCCCCGAGGAGGGCCCTGTGGTGAAACGGAAACACAAGATCTCTCGGAGGTCAGGATCCTACACGCTTAGCAGCAGCAGCAGCAGCAGCAGCAGCAGCAGCAGCAGCAGCAGCAGCAGCAGCAGCAGCAAGCGGAAGGGTAGGAGGTTGATTTTTTCGCGGGCCCGCGGCCTGAAAATAAGCAAAAGGGAGCAAAAGAAAAGCAGCAAAGAGTCTGCTGCAGCAGCAAGAACTGAAGCAGCAGAAGCAACCGAGAAAGAAAAACCAAAAAGAAAAAGAAGACTTGCTTCCAGCAGAAGACGCCTTTCTGGAGGAAGAATTAAAAAAAGAGAAGCAGCTGCAGCACAAGACAGTGAAGACAGCGAGGCGCCTGCAGCAGCAGCAGCAGGAGCAGCAGCAGCAGCAGCAGCAGCCGAAAGAGAGGCAGCAGCAGCAGGAGCAGCAGCAGAAGGAGCAGCGGCAGCGGAAGGACAGGCAGCAGCAGGAGGAGCCGCAGCAGCAGAAGAGGGAGCGAGAGCAGAAGGAGGAGCAGCAGCAGCAGAAGGCGCAGCAGCAGCGGCAGAAGGAGCAGCAGCAGCAGCACCCGATGAGGCAGCAGCTAAGCAGCAAGGAGCAGCAGCAGCAAAAAGAAGAAAAAGCCTCAAAAGCATCTTAAAGAAGCCAAAAAGAAGAAGCTCTAGGGGCCGCAATTCTGTGGATCTGAGCTCCAGCAGCAGCGACGAAGCCGCTGCTGCTGCCCCCGCTGCAGCAGCAGCAGCAGCAGCAGCAGCAGCAGCAGCGGGAGAGGAGAAAGGCAGCAAAAGAAAAGGCCGCAGCCTCTTCAAAAGAAAAAACAAAAATAAAAAAGACTCCGACAAATCCCCAGCCCCCCGCAGGGGCCGCGGGAAGCTGGCGGCCTCCAGGGGCCCCCGGGGGGCCCCCACTGCAGCAAACGGGGAAAAGGGGAAGTGGCCTTCTTTGCTGCAGCAGCCGAAGCTGCTGTCGGAGGCGCAGCTAAACCCTGAAAGGGACTTCCCGCTGCTGCTGCTGCTGCAGCCCCACAAAGGGGGGCCCCCCTTGGGGGCCCTCCCCACGGGCTGCATGCCCACGCAGGTGACCCGGGGCTTCGAGGCTTACATGCAGCTGCTGCCAGCCTTTGGGGCTGGCTGCAGGCTGCGCATGCAGCAGCAGCAGCAGCAGCAGCAGCAGCAGCAGCAGCAGCTGGGGGGGGAGCACGGGCGGGGGGAGCAGCAGGAGCAGCAGCAGCAGCAGGAACCCCACCGGCAGCAGGTAGACTTGCAGCATCACCATCGAGGGGAGCAGCAGCAGGAACAGCAGCAGCAAGACCAACAGCAGCAGGAGCAGCAGCAGCAGCACGAGGAAGACCAGCAGCAAGAGCAGACGCAGCAGCAACAAGATCAGCAACAGCAGCCGCACCACCACCACCACGAGCAGCAGCAGCACCATGAGCAGCAGCACCAAGAGCAGCAGCACCAAGGGCAGCAGCATCAAGAGCAGCAGCACCAAGAGCAGCAGCACCACAATCAGCAGCAACAGCAGCAGGAACACCAGCAGCAACAGGATCGCGACGAGCACCAGCCGGAACAGCACGAGCAGCAGCAGCAGCAGCAGCAACAGGGGCAGCAGCACCACAAGGAGCCCCAGCAGCAGCAGCAGCAACGCTCTCACCGCCAACAGCAGCAGCACCACCACAGCGAGCAGCAGCACCATCGACAGCAGCAGCACCACCACCAAGAGCAGCAGCAGCATCAGCAGCAGCAGCAGCACCACCATCAGCAGCATCACCAACAGCAGCAGCACAGCCACCACCAAAAGCAGCAGCAGCACAGCCACCACCATGAGCAGCAGCAGCAGCAGCAAGAAGAGACCGCTCTCTGATGCTGCAGTCCGTCTGGGGGCCCCCGAGGATGTGGGGGCCCCCGAGGATGTGGGGGCCCCCGAGGATGTGGGGGCCCCCGAGGATGTGGGGGCCCCCGAGGATCTGGGGGCCCCCGAGGATCTGGGGGCCCCCTTTATGTCCATTATTAATTCACCAAAAGTGTTAAATGTGTTTAAAATAATTCAAAGACATTAAGTGCATTTGAGTTCACAGAAGAAGCATTTGAAATAATTAATGTGTTCGATTGTCTCTGCGCGTTTCCAGCAGTTAACCCTAAACCCTAAACCCTAAACCCTAAGCTCTAAACCCTAGCCCTCTTAAGCTTGGCAATAAGCACTGGCGACCCCGGATCCTGAGGCCTACAATGAACACGGCGGACCACAGCCCCGGTGTCCATCGCGCAAACCCTAAACCCTAAACCCTAAACCCTAAACCCTAAACCCTAAACCCTAAACCCTAAACCCTAGAGGATCCTAAGGCCGCCGCCGCCGCAAGGTATCTGCATTAGATATTCAATAAAACTTGGTGCAGCTCAAAGCCACCAGCAGACATTACCTCAAACCCCAATCTGCAAGGAATTAGGGGGCCCCCCACTTATACCCAAGGCAAGGGGGCCCCCCACCTATACCCAAGGCAAGGGGGCCCCCACCTGAAGGCAAGGGGGCCCCCACCTGAAGGCAGGGGGCCCCTCGCCTATATCCAAGGCAAGGGGGCCCCCCGCTATATCCAAGGCAAGGGGGCCCCCCACCTAAAGGCAAGGAAAGGGGCCCCCACCTAAAGGCAAGGGGGCCCCCCACCTATACCCGAGGCAAGGGGGCCCCCCACCTATACCCAAGGCAAGGGGGCCCCCCTCCTGTACCCAAGCAAGGGGGCCCCCTTACTGTACCCAAGCAAGGGGGGGCCCATGCCTATACCCAAGCAAAGGGGCCCCCACCTACACCTAAGGCAAGGGGGCCCCCCACCTGTACCCACGGCAACGGGGCCCCCTAGCTATAACCAAGGGGGTTGTGGGGCCCCCCATAGCCTGGTTCCAAGGCAGGGGGGCCCCCCTCCTTGCCTTATACCCAAGGTAAAGGGGGGCCCCCAAAGCCGAAGGCAGGAGGGGGCCCCCCGTAGCCCTGTACCCAAGGGGGGCCCCCAAAGACTGGACTCAAGGCATGGAGGGGGGCCCCCCTCGCCCTGTACCCAAAGTAGGGGGGCCCCCCATTAGTCTTTCCCTCAAGGGGGGCCCCCCAAACCCTACCCAGGGGCCCCCTTTACTGGGGGCCCCTCGCCGCTCCGCAGACCGCTCGACAGCCCCAAATGACGCCCAAGATACATGCGAAAAGCATGCAACGCGCATGCAAGATGCATGCAAAGTGCATGCAAAATGCATGCAAAGTGCATGCAAAAAGCATGCAAAGTGCATGCAAAATGCATGCAAAGGGCATGCAAAATGCATGCAAAATGCATGCAAGGACGGCCCATGAGTTTGGGGCTCTTCGACCACGAGTCAACGAAATCGAATATTAATTTCTTAACTTGTGCGACATCTACAGCCCTTGCGCAGCCGCTGCTGCAGCTGCTGCTGTTGCCGCTGCTGCTGCTGCTGCTGCTGCTGCTGCTGCTGCTGCTGCTGCTGCAATTTAGTCAGTACAAGGTGGCATATAGACCCAATTCGTTTACCCAAGCGCCGCTGCGCTGCACTGTTGCTTCCGAGGGCAGCATTGCGGGAACTTCTGTCCGAACTCCTGAAAAGAAAAACTCGCAGCAGACTCTCTAGCTAGCTGGCTAGCTAGCTAGCTAGCTAGCTAGCTAGCTGGGCTGCCGCTGGTCCCAGCGAGCTGGCTAGCTAGTGAGCTGTCTAGCTACCTAGCTAGCCAGCCAAGACGACGCTGCCCCTAGGGAGCTAGCTAACTAGCTAGCTGCCCTGCTGCCGTGCCTGGTTAGCTAGCGAGCTAGCTATTCCTGTGCAGGCCTGCTAGGCTAGTTAGGTAGCTAGCTAATTGGCCAGCTAGCCGGCTAGCCAGCTGGCCAGCTAGCTGACCCGTTGCTGTGGCTAGCTAGCTCGCCAGCTGGCCAGCTAGCTGGCTAGCCAGTTGGCCAGCCAGCTAGCTGGCTATTCAACTTGCTTGCTAGCCAGCCAACTAGCCAGCTACCCTGCCAGCCAGCCAGCTCCCCAGCTCCCCAGCCAGCCAGCCAGCCAGCCAGCCAACTAGCTAGCCAGCTAGCTAGCCAGCTAGCTAGCCAGCTAGCTAGCCAGCTAGCTAGCTACCCAGCGAGCTAGCCAGCTAGCTAGCCAGCTAGCTAGCTAGATAGCTAGCTAGCCAGCTAGCTAGCCAGCCAGCTAGCTAGCTAGCTAGCTAGCTGTTGCGTGCGAGCGTACCGAGGACGTCGACCTCTGCCTTTTGCACTGAGGGTTTTTCGAAAGGCTGCGGCAGCAGCCGCAGCAGCATGGCGCTGATGTTGTCGCCGCTGCCCATCAAGTAAGCAGCAGACACGAGACGCGAAACTGCTGCTTCCAGGTCCCCCCCAGTGGCCTGCACGCAGCAGCAAACGAGGGTTTAGGGTTTAGGGTTTAGGGTTTAGGGTTTGGGGTTTGGGGTTTGGGCTGCGGGGGGGCTGGGTTCAGGGTTTGCGGGGAGGGGTTGCGGGGAGGGGGTAGGGTTAGGGGTTTGGGTTTGTACAGAGCAACGCAGCTAGCGACACTCCAAACCCTAAACCCTAAACCCTAAACCCTAAACCCTAAACCCTAAACCCTAGAGAGCTTGCCTTGAGCTGCATGGCGACAAAGTTTGCGACGAACCGCCAGGTCATTCCCTGGGCCTCAAAGACACCTGAGAGGAGAAAATGAAAAAACGAAAAAGATAAATTTTGTCTTTTTATAATTTCTTTTTCAATTTGTTTTTTCAATTTATTTCTTTATTTTGTCTCTTTTGTTTCCCTTCAAACGCCTCTAGTGCTGGAAACCTTTTGTCGTTTTTTTCTTTGTCTCCCTTTTTGTCTTTCTTTTTGGCATTGCTTTGTATTTTATTTTCCTTTAAATCAATTTTTCTTTTTCTTTTCTTTAACCCTCTTTTTTGCTGTTTCCTCGTCTTCTTTTAACTCTTTTTTGTCCCTTTTTCTCTCTTTAAGTCGTTTTTGTTTCTTTATCTATTCCCTTTATTCCCTTTAATCCAATTTAATTCCTTTTAATCCTTTTTAGTCCCTTTTAATCCTTTTAAATTCTTTTAATTTCGTCTAAATCCCATTTAACATCTTTTTCCATCTCCTCTATACCCCTCCTTGGTTTCTTTATCCATTTTTGTTCTTTTTTTCTCGTTTTTAGTCCTTTTTTCTCCCTTTTCCTTCCCCTCAACTCCTTTAATTCCTTTAATCCCTTTAATCCCCTTTTAATTCCACTAAATTCCATTTAATTTCTTCAAATTGTTCCATTT